ACATCATTAGTTAACAATATGCAATGGGCATTCTTCAATAATTAACATTTTCGTAAATATAAGCCCATTTTGATTTTATACTCATCAAGAGCTTTCACTTGAGTACCCACATGCATTTTTATATATTTTATATATTTATATATTTCACAAATAACATATAAATAAAATATATAAAAAATGTCATGTGTATAAAATATACGAAAAGTGCATGTGGGTAGTCAAGATCAACAACAATTTATAAAAAAAAAATCTGTTAAATAAACATTTTCTCGTGGACTGATTTCCTTATTTTATTTATTTTAAAAACTCCGATCGCGGATTTTTTTCGGAGTGAAATTCGAAAGCACTCCGAAATCACTCTGAAATCACTCCGCAAATAAAAACTCTGGATTCACTCCCTACGCGGAGTGATTAATTACTTCACTCCGGAAGTCCGAGTGATGGGAGTGAAATGGGAGTGAAATGGGAGTGAAATGAGAGTGAAATTCACTCCCGATTCACTCCGGATTTTTTACAGTGTAGGTTATTTTGTCCACAAAAAATGAAAATTTTTTTTCTACTACAGCTGAAAATTTGATGAATTTTCTTTAAATACAATCACGGAAAATCAATTGTAGTGGGAGCAACAGCGACTTTAGTTTCATTTACTACACGTTGAAAATCTTCATTGAAGTCTCCCTATTCTATTACATTCTGTAGTAAATGGAACTACAGCCGCTGATGTTTCCACTACAATTTATTTTCTGTGTAATTAAAAAAAAAAAAGATTTACTATATTTGGGTCCCGAAACTAAGCATTTTCCTAAGTACCCCTTTACACCTCCCACTGTAAATGTTTTTATTTATGTACTTTTAAAAAAACACACTTGGCTGAAGTATAAATTTTACATAATTCACAGTTAAGAAAGTTTCATTTAATTGAGGAAAAAATTCTTGGTCTAAAAAACTATATTTCATTTGAATGATCAAGACAATTTTAATTTTTAGTAGATTTCTATGAAATCTTACTATTGCATCGGTTCTCATGACGGAAGTTTTGAAAAATTTTGCTATATTTCGATTCAGCTCGTCAAGCGGATTCAGAAAATACATATGGATCATTCCATGTCAAATCGACCCCTTTTGATTAGGGTGAATTTGGTCTGAAAAAAAATTGAGCCAAAATTTTAATGGCGCTCTTCATTTTTGACTATTTTCAAAAATTCAAAATTTGACAAATTTGGCATTTTTCAAAATTTATTTCCAAAATATTTTTTTTTTTTCAATAGCCCTAAGTGTCCCTTTTCAAACAAACGAAAGATCATTCCTGTATTTATAATAGCATTCGAGGTATTGCAAAAACAAAATTGAAAAACTGGAAAAATCGCGAAATTTTGAAATTGCATATCTTGTGAAAAAAATTTTTTTATTTTTTTCACTTCAGCAGAACTTTGTTTTATGATAAAAGAAAACTTCTAACCAAAATTCATCCAAATCGGAAAAAGACGATTCCAACTATTGGTCGATTTGATATGGAATGACCCATATGGTTCAAAAGTTTATACATGTATATGTATATTTATATACGATATTACTGGGTCTGTCTCTTCTAAAACTCCCTTAATTCTGAACGGATTTCAATGAAACGTAACACACTCATTTTTGGACATTTTCTGAGGTTAAGTTCTAAGATGAACCAAACCTATCGATATTAGTTTAAAAATGACAGCAATTCAAAAATTTTTTTAAATCGCAAAAATTTTCACTTTTATCGTATTTCCGTGCAATAACAATTGAATGTGATATCCTATTAAATTGTTCGTAAATTGCATCTGAAAGCTTATTAAATAAACTTTAATTTGCATACCTCACCATCAGTCTAGGCCAAAAATTACTTACTCTCTTTGTCTATTTAATGGAATTTTACTCTTGCATTTGTTTTGGAAATGATTATTTTAGTGTGTTTTCAAGTCAATTTTTTTTTCCGTGTCTTTTTATGATATTCTTTCATCAAAAATATCATTTTGGAAGATTTTACTGTTTTGAATAAAGCAGGAAAGTTTTTGAATTAAGTAAAATTTACTTGAATCAAGAAAAATCTCTCATTTTAAATCTTTTCTGCTTAATTCAAGACAATTAAATTCTTCAATATCCCAAGCGTCACATAAAAAACTGTTGACTTTTTGGTAAATTTTATTTAACAAGAAGTCAGAAATTAATAATTGTCAACTTAAATTCGACAATAGATTACCAAAAAAATTTTTGTGCCGCTTGGGATAATTTTATTGATGGGTTGTCCCGTTTTTTGTGATTTTCAACTATTGACTGACTTCAAATTTGTGTGTATTTTTATTAAAGGGATTAATGTACCACCGATCAGAATGAACGCAATTTTAAATTGTTCTGACGTATGATCATTATTATATGGAATAAGCCGAATACAATAAAAAAAAAAAAAAACATTCGTCATTAAGTACCAATAAAATTTTCTTTAAAATGAAATCTAACATTATTTACATTCCATATCCCGGGTCAAAAAATTCAATCTGTTTTATGATTAATGAAAATTTTTAATATTTTTCATTCTATTTAATTTTATTATGTGTATTTCCCGGGTCGAAAAATTTAAACTGATTTTTTAAGCTAAATGATCTGCATTTGAACTTATTGATCTGTATTTGAACTTTTAAAAACATTTTCATCTATATTTGATCTACTATTCAAATTATTTTTGATCTGTTTTAAGTCTAAATAACTTTTTAGTAAAATAATTGAGCAGCTATGAATATTTTATGCTGTTTCTAATCTAATGAAACTAAAAAGTTTGATCGGTTTTTAGTTTAGTTAATTTGTAGATGGACTTTATGTTATTGTTTTCAAATTCAATATGAAATCTTATACTGTTTTTGATCTACAATTTTCACTCTAAATGTTCGAAGGCCAAAAGTCGACTAAGATGGTGACTTATAATTTTTTGGACTTAAAAGTATCTCATTAAAAATTATAAGTCGCATTTATTTGAAAAAATAAATTAATTTATAATATATTCATGCGCTCTCTTGTTTTATGAACTGAACGTCGATTATAACCTTACATCTGTCATATTTATTTGTCATAGCTCAACATTTCATGAATTATAAAAGTTTTGTAACTGCGAATATTAGTTGCAGTGATAACTAATAAATTTGTATTAATATTCGTTTATAAAATAGTTCTCATCGTTTGATTATGGATCTAAATCCAGAGTTTTCTAATTATCGTTAATAAACACAATGTGAATACATCGAGACAAGATTAAAATGTTGACAAGATTAATGTTAAATTTTATACTTTCACGCATCATTTAATGAGCGGTATTCACTATTTGGTAGTGCGAAGAATACCGTTTGGTATACATTATATATTGCACTACGAAATAGTGAATGGTCACTATTTCAGTTTCAGAGAATGAAAAGCCGTGCCCTGTAGAGGATCTTCGAGGAAATGAATAAAATAATAATAAATAAAAATATTATTATTATTATTAATATTATTATTATTATCGTAAAAGGTCGGTTTTTGATCTAAAAATTATGGAACGTTTTGGTCCGTTTTTGAGCTTGATGCGATCAAAACCAGCTAAATGATTGTGACAAAAAAAGTCTGATTTTGGTCTTGAAACAATAGAAAAAAATTTTATTACAACATTAAAAATGATCTGAAATTGGTCTGAATTGGGAATAGTACGGGCAAAAACAGATTAAATTCTCATATAAAATAGATACACATAATAAAATTAAATAGAATGAAAAATATTAAAAATTTTCATCAATCGTAAAACAGATTAAATTTTTTGACCCGGGAAATTCGTAATTTATCCTGGTTATGAATGGCACGTTTGTTACCAAATGATATTGAATTAAAAAAAAAAAAGAACTTTTGTGCCTGGAGTCAATTGACGAAAGCAATTAATTGTGGACAGACGGAAATTAGTTTGATAGTTCATTGACTTGGTTGATTGGAACAAAAAAAGAAAAACTTTCAATGCGTAGAAATTAATTTAGGTTCAACTATTGTAATAAAAAAATCGATATTAATTTCGTTCATTTTCTTTGCGATGCTACTGTACCGAAAAACTTTTTTCGGATACTTGACCCTGCAGAAGAGCAAATTTATTTGGACTTCTTTGTCTTTGATGTTTAACTTCCGACGAGTATACTTCTAACCTCTTGGCATTGATTTCTATCACTCGACAATGTTTAGTTGACAGCTGAATAATCGTATTTTTCAGAGCGTGAAATATTTCACAAAGCTTTCAATATTTTCTGATATAGTCTCGTTTATCTTCACAGAAATAGTTTATGTAGTGAAATTAATTAAAAAATATTTCTAAAGAAAATTTAATGAACATTGTTTTACTTAAAGTTCAATAAATTTATAGACTTTGATCTTTGTAAAGTAAAATTCAATTTAAAGACTGGTTATTCTATTTTCTTGTGATTTTATTTAATAGAGCAGAAATCTACAATAAATAATTTTAATAAAAAATTACAGGTCAGTTTTAATCACGAAGAAACATAAATAATGGTAACCTAACAATTACCCCGTGAATCAATACTTCTACTCGGATAATTATCATGTTTATTCAATTCTACCAACAGTTTAATAAATAACAACTTTGAATCAATAAGACAGTAATAAAAAGAAAACATTTCATTCACAGTAACGTAGTAGTAACAGTAATTGTGTTATCAGACAAAATACGATTCCAGGGCTTGAAATCGAACATGGATTTTTTAATATAAGTTAAAAGCTCTCTCAGTTAAATTGTCCGTAACTACCTTCCAGTCACTAATTAAGTCACTCCGAGCAACGCCACCGTCCATCTTACGGCAAAGAGGTGCTTGATTTGATCTTATACTCACTTCAGTATCTTGTTTCCAGCAACTTATAGTCAAAGGTACCCTTTGATTCGTCCAAACAAATATTACACAATATAACATGGCATTGGGCAAATCAGTCTCATATCTGACAAGCATAGTTTATTTTCTTTCAGTGTCTATAACTTGAACTCGCACACAATTAACATACAAATTGCCTCTACTGTTGACTCCTCTGGTTCTTCCTTCAGCGACTAATTTGTTCCAACCATCTTCGGCAAATTTAACCACATCCAAGTCATCTTTATTTAACTTTAATTCATATGAATCTTTTTTCCCTTCACAATTAGAATCATTCATTGAAAATGACAAAGACAGTCTTATTGTCAGAATTAGCAATATCAAAACTAATTTACACATTTTTATTTTTTTATTTATTATTGGTATAACTTTTGAATGTTAGAACTGAAACTCGAGAAGAAGCAACTAATAGCTCACACACTGAATGATCTTTAATGAAATATATTTATTTATATAGTTTTAAATATTAATATTGCTTCATATTTTATTTATCTTAGAAGAATAAATCATTTATATAATTAAGAGAATAAGAAAAAATTTATCTCCAGCGTATTTATATGATAAAATGAGATTTTAAATTACATTTAACATCATTAGAAAGATCATTTGAAACACAATATTTATTAATATTTTGAGTTGAGAAGCAACGCATAACAAAAAACAAAAATGTTAAATTTTAGCAGATGTCACATAAGAAATTAATTTTATTTATAATTCAATTTTAAAGTTCGTTCAAATTTTCCCGGGTCAAAAAATTTAATCTGTTTTACGATTGATGAAAATTTTTAATATTTTTCATTCTATTTAATTTTATTATGTGTATCTATTTTATATGAGAATTTATTCTGTTTTTGCTCGTACTATTCCCAATTCAGACCAATTTCAGATCATTTTTGATGTTGTAATAAAATTATTTTCTATTGTTTCAAGACCAAAATCAAACTTTTTTGTCACAATCATTTAGCTGGTTTTGATTGCATCAAGGTCAAAAACAGACTAAAACGTTCCATAATTTTTAGTCGGTTTTTCATCGCCCGTAGATCAAAAACCGACCTTTTACGAATTTGATAATAATAATATTAATAATAATAATATATTTATTTATTATTATTTTATTCATGTTCTCGAAGATCTTCTACAGGGCACGGCTTTTCACTCTCTGAAACTGAAATAGTGACCATTCACTATTTCGTAGTGCAATGTATACCAAACGGTATTCTTCGCACTACCAAACAGTGAATACCGCTCATTAAATGATGCATGGAGGTATTAAATTTAACATTAATCTTGTCAACATTTTAATCTTGTCTCGATGTATTCACATTGTGTTTAATAACGATAATTAGAAAACTCTGGATTTAGATCCATAATCAAACGATGAGAACTATTTTATAAACGTATATTAATACAAATTTATTAGTTATCACTGCAACTAATATTCGCAGTTACAAAACTTTTATAATCCATGAAATGTTAAGCTATGACAAATAAATACGACAGATGTAAGGTTATAATCGACGTTCAGTTTATAAAACAAGAGAGCGCATGATTATATTTTAAATTAATTTAATTTTTCAAATAAATGCGACTTCTAATTTTTAATGAGATACTTTTGAGTCAAAAAAATTATAAGTCACCATCTTAGTCGATTTTTGGCCTTCGAACATTTAGAGTGAAAATTGTAGATCAAAAACAGTATAAGATTTCATATTGAATTCGGAAACAATACATAAAGTCCATCTACAAATTAACTAGACTAAAAACCGATCAAACTTTTAAAACTTTTTAGTCTCATGAGATTAGAAACAGCATAAAATATTCATAGCTGCTCAATTACTTTACTAAAAAGTTATTTAGACTTAAAACAGATCAAAAATAATGTGAATAGTAGATCAAATACAGATGAAAATGTCTTTAAAAGTTCAAATACAGGTCGATAAGTTCAAATTCAGATCATTTAGCTTAAAATCAGTTTAAATTTTTCAACTCGGGATAAAAAATTTTAACATTTTACCAGACAATTAAAAATGTTTACATTTAAAATAAATTTAATCATCAGTAGTTATAGTGAATTTCAAAATTATATGTTTTACTTCTTTTTAGTGAATATTTTTGTCGTTTAACACCATTATCATTAAAATGTTTTGAAAGTTTCAGTAAGATCATTTATTATCTTACTATGATCTAATACAAACAGACAAAATTATAAAAACCCGTATAATAACTTTAAAAATGACAACATTCACTTACATAAAAATTAAATAAATTACTTACACATTCTACACAATAATATTGAGTCGTTAATTGCTTGACAATGTAGTTACCATGACAATATTCATCATAGCAACAGTTACCAAACAACGGTTGCCATCTAATATTACTTAAGAGACAGTCAATCAGCAGACTGAAAAAATTTTCTTAGTTCAGGAACATTTTGGTATACAAGCATATATTAAAATTAAAAATCGAATCTACAAAAAAAATTAACAATTTATGCATAGTAATATTTTTTATTTATTGAATTTAAATGCCAAGGCATAAAGCCAAATAGCAAGAAGTAAATACATAGAATTTTGTTTCACATAATAAGTTTGTTAAATATTAACAAATATTTTTTAATACAAATAAATCCTTCTATCAGTGTACCAATAAAAAAACCATAATCTGCGTAAATAAAGATTGTATATATATAAAGAGGTTTTGGTCGTACCTGTCAGTAGACTTTTTCAAAAGTAAAACGACTATTTTATGTTGTTGTCGATTAACATTAATCAAACTAATTATATTTTTTTTCAGCAAAATTTCATGTCAAAAGTTGAATCTTTACAACAGGTAAATTGTTATTATTTTATTTTTTTATGCATTGAATTTACCAATGATGTGAATATATCATGGATTATATAATTTCAGAATTTAAGATAACTATCGAAGATTATTCTTATTTTTGTCAGGAGTCGCGAACAAAGGAGAATTAAAAATTAAAAAAAAAACAATGTGGAAGCAATCGAAACTTGGATGTTTCTTTCTATTGATTATTGCTATGATGACAGTTTTTAATTCAGCGATTTCAATGTCTGTGATGCAGTAAGTTTTCTAGTATACATTATCATACATGGATTTTAATTATTTTTTATTTGTGCTGCAATAAAACTATGTAAATTTTTTTTCAGTCAACAAACAAATATACTTCATTCAAGTTTAAATAGTAGTGTCTTAGATAGTTCACAAGCTGAGAATCAAGCTGCTAGAGATGTAAACACTCAACATGATTTAAAACGAAGGTATTTTGAAAAACATATTTTTGTTATTCCATGAAAAGACAAAATTATTTATTTCCGGCTTTTCAAATATGTTTTCAAATATTTTTCACTCGAGTACAAAGAGAAAAAACTTCAAAAAATTCAACTACTCATCTTTGAAAATACTCTTTCAATTTTTAGTAAATTCAATAGTATTGCTAACTTTATAAGTAAATTGAAAAAAAAAATGAATATTTTTGAGAATACCTAAATAATATCTATTATCAGATAGAAGCAAATTTTAAATGCAAAAATAATATTAAAAAACAGAATATAGTAAAAATAAAATTTAAAAAAGTGTCTAAGTATGCAAGTAAATGAATATTTTTATTTTTCGTCTTCCTTAACTAGAAAACTGATTTTTTTTTTTCAGTAAACGTTCATATTCATACGATTTTGGATTAAATCGAGGTTATACTGGTGTACTCCATGGTAAACATTTACTCGGAATGAATGCAACAAATGATATTTATGGTCCAGGTCGATAGCGCTAACAATTATAGCAGAAAAAAATGATAAATGTAAGATAATTGTTCAGATTAAAAAAAAAAAAGGATTACGATATGATTAAAACATGTTTAAAAAATTTGTGCATAAATTTTATTGGTCGACAATTCTAAGAATTCACATATTGACCAACACATTTTTTCAATATAATTTTTTTATTTTTGCTGACACAAACTGAAAAAAGTATAAGAATAGTGACAAATTAATGTTTCAGTTTCAAAGCGTTGATCATAAGCCAAAATTTAAAAAATTTTGTTAAATTCATAAAAAATAGTTAAATCATGAAATTATGGCATATATCTAAATTTGTTTAGTTTTACATGATCTTCAAAAAAATAAAATAGCATTTTACTTTAAAATTGATGTTACCAAAATTTCAATAAAAAATGAAGCAGTAAGGAAAGAAAATTATGGAAAGTTTACCGATGTATTATGAGAATTATTCCAATTATTGTATAGAAATGATTTCTTTAATATTATGGGAATCATTCCCATATAAAAATATTTATTGTTGATTGTGTAGATGCAAAAACACACGAGTGAATTCTCTTTTCACACGGGTTTATTTGAAACGCGTGCGCAGATTAAGAACATTTAATCCCGCCCCTATATAGTAAATTTAAGCTAGAAAGCTGTTCTAAAAGACAGTTCGATGCCTCGTTATCCCTCTACAGCGCTATCAAATGCTCTTATCATCTCTCCAGTAAACACTTCAGTTTTGACTAATTACACCGATTAAATAGCAACTTGGACATGCTTTCTTGTATCTCTTTGAGTATCAAAATGAGACTGTAGTCAAAGAGAAGATCAGTAATGAAATTCCAATTAGAGCACCTTTTATTTTAATCATTAATTAATTTTAAGCCAGTTCGTTATTTTTTGTTCAATTTATTTACATACCTTTCATTATGTTAATATTTCGGTAAAATGTGTTTGTATTCCAATTATCTAAAGTTTTTGGTGTCGGAATATTTGGTTTAACGTCACGATTTGAGAGATTTTCTTCCGTTATTTTTTCTGCTTCTCGTTCCTGCAAATGAAAGAAAATTTTTTTTTTACTAATTTTATTCTTTTAATAGGTAAACGAACAGAAATTTTATGTCATTTTTTAAATACAACATGCCTTGAATGCAAGAACTGAGAAGTGATCTACTTTTTTTTTATTAATATAAAAGTGAAGGCTCTTATAAGTTGGATTTTCAGATGAATTTTTTTATGATTCAGCCAATTATGGACGATCTCATGTCAAAACTTACAGAAAAGTTTGATGTAATATGTTCTGTTTCATTAAGTTATGTTAAAGATAGTACGTCTTTAGTTTTTTATGCTAATTTATTAACAAACACTTTAGATAATTGATATGAAGTTTAAAGCTATAAATATAGCTTAGATTATTAATTACTTTTATGATACTGAAGATAATAGACATCTGACAATTTTTAGAATTTCTCGACAAATAAATTATTGTGAAGAAAAATTTGTTTTTAATTTCACATGTTAAAATTAAAAGAAAAAAAAAATAATGAAATTTTT